AAACATATACTAATTTGATAGAAGGATCCACGCAAAATCATTCATCTTAAGATCCAACAGGAAATTCTGAAACTATGTTGATCACATCTTAATCTAAACCTTTGTTTCTCTCTCAAGTCAAATATCCTGGTTTGGCATGGCAAAAAATAATGATGCATAGCTAATGAGTAATGATAACGTATATTACCTCAATGCTGTCTTTTCCAATCCAACAACACAAATAGTAATCTTCTTTCCGTTCATTAGAATGGTAAGTATAGAGGATAACATAGCAATCTCCACTGAAAAATGTACCAATATCTTCAGCAGGAACAGGAGTTTTGGCACTGCCATTGATACGCCAAACCTGGCAAATATGATATTTGAATTTTAAACTTTTCAACATAATATACATAATCGAGCTAATCCCAGAACAACCAGGTAACATGTTAGAAGCGGACCTCTATTTTCCCACCTCCTTCAAGCAATGGGGGGATCTCCTCATTCACGGAAGCACTCTTGCTTGTTCCCTTGGCACCAGCACCTTGCTGCTTCAGCAAAGCTACCAGCAAGCACAGTGGCTTCAGAACTTAGCACCTGTTTGAGCCCCATTTTTTGACCAAAATGCATTTTGAAATGGTATTTTCTTGGAGAATGTGTAGTTAAAAAGTAAGGAAAAGTTTTGGGTTTGCATGTAATATTATTTTATTGAAGGATGTGTAGTTGAAAATAAGAGAGAAAAATGTATTTTAGAAATAATGGGGTACCAAACAAGGGCTTAATAATGTCCAGGAATTATAGAGTATATTTTTGAGAAGACGGGAATGAGTTATACCTGCTACTTTCACTCTTCCCTCCTCAGCAGCAGAAGGTGCTGATCCTGATGGCCAAGAGTCAAAGTTGGACTTAAATGAATGTGTCTCATAACCTTGAATAAGCCGAATTATATGTGTTGACTTTGGTCTATTTTGGCTGGCCACAAAAGCCTGAGGAATACCGTACACTAGTGAGTGTCCAAGTAACATATCCAATTCAAGTGCGTGTTTGGCTAAGCTTAAAAAAAAATTTTTTTTTTTTTTTTCCAAACTTATGTGGATAACTTATTTTTAAGTAAACAAAGTAACTCTATTTGAAAATAACTCTTGCCTTGCTATAAAAATAAGTATCTTGTGTACATAATACTTCGACCAATCATTTTTTTTTTTTTTTAAATTTAAAACTTGCTCTTTCATTTAAACTTTTTAAGCTTAGCAGACATGCACAGAACAGGAAAAAATAAGCATCTACCTCAGCAGCTTGAATAGCAACTTTCCTCTCCTCTACTTGTGTTACGCGGCCAACCCAAACAAATACCTCAGCACCACAATCAACCAGATAGCATTTATTGTTTTCCAAACTTGATTTGGAAAGTTCACAATCTACATCTTTTACTTGACCATCAAAAATACTGCAGAAAAGCAAAAGAGGACTGTAGATTTAGTGCCTAATAACTGAGAAAGAAGTTCAACTAGTAACGTGATCCAGTGAAGAAGCTCAAGTACATAATCAAAAAATAAGAAAGCATGTGCACACAGATACTAATCAACCAACTGGTAGGGTCCTGATATAGGTGCAGAATCGTGGTCGATTGCAGAAGAAAAGAAGACGCTCCTGATGGAATATTTTTTGGATTATATTGGATAAAATTGCAGAAACGATTGAATGTAAATTGTATTACTAAGAGGAATGAAAACGAACTACAAATGGACAGCTTTTCAGAGGTCGCCTCTCTCACCCAATTTCTATCTCATTTTCAGAATGTCCCCCAAATGAAACTACCCTCTCCTCTGTATAGATAGAGGCTTGCCTGGACTATTTATTCTCGTAAATAACCAAAACACCCTGGATAACTAACTATTAATCTGGAGTTCTATCACCAACTTATGCGTGTATAGAAATTAAAAGTGAAACAGCTAATTTAAACAATGAAGTCTGTATTACAAGGGATTATATTAATGTCATCAAGAGTGCAAAGAAAAGTGAACAAAATCATATGCTAGCAAATATTAAAGGTGGAATTATATCCCACTTGGCAGTAATTAGTAAATATTACACAAACAAGGTCCTTAAACATCAGTTAGATCTCATTAACATTCTTTTGAATCAAACCATAAACAAGAGCAGAGACCTTCCATTAGAATCATGAGAATTTTATTTGTAAGAGATGTGAAGTACTGACTGTAAACAACTGATAACTTACAGAAACCACCCCATCACAGTGGCTAGGATGAGAGAGAATGAAGGAGTGGCGGAAGACAGCAGGCAGTGCAGTAAAAAAGAAGCTTGAGAAATTCAAGATACAAGAAAAGTAAAAAAACCGAAGGAACGGATAATTTTGTGAGTCAATGGATTTAAAAACTAGTCATGAAATAGTCCTGGTTAGTTGTTAAAACTATACAAGGAAGTACATGTGACGGAGGGGAGAAAAACTTAGGAAAAGAACAATTTTTTTTTTTTTTATAAGTAATCAGAAAATTTTATTCATCATTGGATAATACAAGGGGAATGTATTATCAATTTAGACAACACATAAACGACATGAAATTAGGCAACCCATCTACATGATTAGGAGCTACAATATTAAACCAATTAAACAAGATTAGATAAAATAATTCTCTGAACTGCTCTTTTGTTCTAATCTTGTCGTCAAAACAGCGGCTGTTCCTACTGTTTTTAATCTAATCTCACAAGAGAGAGAGATCAATGCTGTTAGACAATGCAATAATCAACAAATACATCTCTGATTTATACCAAAGTTGTAAGATNCAATGAATGAACAGATGATCAATTGTCTCCCCATCCTTCTTACACATATAACACCACTCTGTAATACACAAGCCTCTTCTTCGAAGATTATCCACCGTTAGCGCTTGCCCCCTCACATCCGTCCACAATAAAAAAGCCACCCGAGGGGGCGAAAAGAACAAATTAAATTGCTTCTGAAAAAAATGACTGATACCAACTATGTTAAAGAGAAGAAAAGAATTCGACACTCAGTTTTTGTCACCACATTTTTAGCAGAATCAGTTATCTTCAGATAAGAATGATATTAGACGCAGCTCAGAGCAGATAAATATCTTCTACTGCCAGAAACCTCCCAACTAATTAACATGCGTGCAATACTTCAACTTTACTATTATAATTTGAACTGAAAAAAGCAACCAGTAGATATCTCTGATTTTATTTTATTTTATTTTCTTGAACTATCTTTCAATGTGTAATATATAAAAGACTTTATCTATTCACCAAAAGTATTCAAATCCATCACTTGAATCTTACTTTTCGACCAGATTTTAAGGCAAAAAGTACGACGCAGATGATCTCGTAATTCCTGATCTAGTATCTTGAAGGGCTATCAGCATGAAAGTGAAACAAACTAAGCAAACTTCTTAAGTTTTTTCCTTTATGATAGAGCTACCAATTGCTACAGAAGTATAAGGAACCTATTGCAATGTGAAAGCATCTAATTTGAAGACAATTATACTATTAGAATTGAAAGAACAACTACCTATAAAGCTTTGCAGGGGTCTTCTCCGGAGCAATATCATCTTCAGTAGTAACCTTCTTGCCAATTGGAGCAAACCCGCCAAAGAGGATCCAAAATTCACCAGAATCTGTCTCAGCTTGCAGTTTTCCATCATCTGGAGAGTTAACAACATTAACAGACAAAACAAATAGAATAAGTAGAGGTCGTAAAATAGAAACACGGTTTTCATATTGGAAAGGACAAGAAAGTATGACAACCATAATGCTTACTGCATAGGAATGTTCTTACCAAAAATGGCAACATCACACGTTCCCTCATGGTACTTTTCCTTCAAATACTGAATTACTTCTAATGCTTTGGCTCTTTCCTGAATGTTGGAGTTTGCACCATTGAACTGATATATCTTGCCTTTAGTGTCAAGAATAAAAACATCATCATGATTTAGTGAGGAGCGGGAAAAGGGAACCTGCATAACACAGAGAACCAAAAGTACATTGTCATTCTATGATTTTTTAGCAGTGCTTTGAATATAATACAGTCAATTCATGGATTTACTTTTACCTGCTTCAATCTTACGACTCGTTTGCCTCTAGAAACATATAGTCGGGTTTCAAATTCTTCTTCTTCAGCTTTCTTAAATCCAGATGCAACACCACCTTCCAATGGAATAATACACGGTTTGAAGTATGACAAGAATTTGTCAGATTCATGGCCTTGTAGTTCTCTATGCTGCACGGCACGGCCACCAAGAATGGCATCAAGTTCAATAGTTTTGATAGCTGCTGTTCCAGCTTCATCCTAAAAAAAAACCTTAAACTTGATGAAATAGACATGAAGGAAGTACATCTAAAAAAGAAAAGAAGAATGAGATCATGCCTGGCTAGTGTCCTTTCCAAGCCAGAAATGTATGTCGTAAAGATAAGCACCTCCCTTTCCAGGACTTGTCTACAGATAAAAGCATAGGTGTGTAAGAAGTTTAAAAGGCTTATAGATTTTTTCTTTTTCTGATATTAAGAAAAAAATAAGTAATTAACTACCCATCCAAATTCACATCAAATTTAAACCCTGAACTCGCGAGAAGCAGAAAAAAGAAAGGTACAAACCTGCAATAGAATGTATGAATCTCCAGAGTAGAATTTGCCATATTCCGATTTTGTCAAAGGAACAGGTTGGAAGTCTTCAATTCTCCAGATTTCAGTCCCTCTGTGAAGTGTTAAGATCAACCAAAAATTAGAAAATTCTTGCCAACAAAATTCGAAAACAAAAGCACTCAGAGACTTGCAGTAATAAATATTTATTAATTTCTTTTATTTTACTAGAGATACTAAGCAAATTAGTTAGCTTATCAAGTCTTGTTAGCATAAGAAAGAATACATTCTCTGCCCTGCTCCCTGAAATGCAGGTTCCAATGCTTTTGCTGAGCTAGACATCGTGAGATATTGTTTTCACTACAGAAGATTGTGACCAGAAAGACAACAACTCCCAATAGCTGTTTCTATATTCCACCAGAATTAACTGCTGAGAAAAAAAAAAGAAAAGAAAAAAGGAAGTAAGAAAGGGTATAGAAAGAAACAATTAAGAATACAAGCACACTGAATCTAGAACTCAATAACCCTCTGTTATAGCAGCAGTAATCAGCTTAAATTATGCATGAGCACTACCAGAATACAAAATTACCATTTCATGAGAAGGAAAAGAAAATGATAGAAATGTAAATAGTGCAGAGTCCCATGAAATCTACATCACTCTTTTAAATATAAAACGTCTCTAACAGTAGCTTTTCTTCATGCTTAAGTTCAAGACTATGATACATGCAGTGATGCAGGTCATTGTTTGGACTTGCTATGAATTGGTTTCAGGTCGTCATTTGGACTTGCTATGAATTGGTTCCCTTGTTGTACTCCTCTTGACTAAGTTGCATCCATGTTGAAATACTAACAAGACAAAATGCATAAAGTGTTTCTGCACACAGACTCCGGCATCTCAACTTACACGATGACTGCATAAGTTTTGAGAAACAAGCTTGATAAGAATATTATTCATCTCTAGAAGCTTTTTCCCCAGATTAAAGCAGGCCAGAAATGCTCAAACAACGATAAAAGACATGGCTAAGGAGGAGATCTTTTCTATTGCTACAGATATCGTAACTCGTTAAAAAAAATTAATAATTTTAGAACAGTAAAATTTACTAGCTTCTCTTACGAATACAAAATAATCCTTGATATTTTAAAATTAAGATATATACTTCCTCAGCTGTAGTAGAATTTTTACAAAGGGGAAACTGGAAAAAGTATGAAGATGAAATTATAACTCGATGCGTGTCAAAGTCAATATTTTGGAGGGGCAAAGGGAGATAGGAAGTAAACACTAAGGTTTTGAACAGAATCCAATATCCAATGGCGATTTTGTCTATCGTCATAAGTGATTTGCTACTTGAAATCCTGAGTGCTAGATTGCTACGGCATTTAACCTCAGCGGGCCTGAACGCTACATTGTTGAAGAAAACCGGACAGGAAAATAAAGGCAAAAGAAAATGTTCTTACGGCTTACTATAATAATAATACATGAACACTAACCACGCTACCAATTCCATGAACATTAGATACTTTCTCTATATACTAAGTATTAACGGGTCTTGCAACATAATCCCATGTTGAAGAAAACACTGTCCTCAAGTGGCTTTCCATTTTCCATAATAAAATGGTGCCAGGCGATCATTTCTGCCCTTTCCACTTGATTGCCTACACCAAATTGAGGCATTACATGAAAATGGTAATTCTCTCATACATACTTCGGTTCATGAACTGTACTCAAAGACTTTTCTACATATCATAATTGAGAAACAAAATTAATGACCACAATGAATCTACTCACATATTATGCTACCAATATTATAATCTGGACAAACTTGTCATGTGCAAGAAAACACTAACAAATGAGATCGCACAGCAAGCATTTTGTTCTTCCAATATAACTAGCCACATGCATTTAACCTCTCCCTCAACTACTACTTTGATGTTAAAATTATCTCAACATTTGATGTGCAAAAGAAGGAAATTGAAGTCAGCAACAACAGCTTTCTTGGAAAATTCATAAACTACTAGGAGCAGATGTCAACTTATCGACAGTTCTTGAATCATTTTTCAAATCGTAAGGCTCGCATCTTCCATGTATACCTAGAGAGAGAGCATTAAATCCATGTACTTATCAACAAAACCAGTGCATTTATTCTTGACAAATACAGGACAATGACATTGGATATCGTGGGCAGGTTTACTCCCGTTCAAAACTTCTCACGAGTACTTTCTTAAATTACAAAAGCATTTCTCTGACACAAATAATACCATCAACTCTTCAAAGAAATTATTGATCATTAAATCAGAGTCTATGCAGCTAAACTTGCCTATTTTCTGGCATTTAGTACCCCGGTCAGCTTGAAGAATATCTGAATTCTACTTCAGCAACTTATGATCTCCCAAAAGAACTTTGTAAAAAACATACTCATGGTCTATGTCAGCAATTCAATTCATTACTAACAATAAGCTTACCAACTGAACTAACCCACATTGAGTCTAAGAATGAGCCATATTAAAACATTTAAATGCGGTCGATCATAAGAACTCATAATACAGGATCGCAATTCCAAGATTTCTATCAAACCTAAACATGCCCAACAGAAAAAGTTACGAGATTTGATATTTGAGTCAAAACCTCAAGTTCACTGTAAAGATCCTTCCTTTACCACACCATTTCAAAACTAACAGATCCTAAGAAAACAATCAAAACATATAAATTAAACTTGTTAAGCAAAAAAATCAAATAACAGATAATCAATAAGCATTAACTTATTAAAGAATAGATATCATTTCAGATATGTTCTGATAGAATTCATTAAATAAGTAAAGATTGACAATAAAGCAAACCCATCTCACAAACAACCCATTGAGCTCAAATCAACACACTTTAAATCCAATATCACAAAATTCAAAAAAAAAAAAAAAAACACGAAATTCCATATCAAAATTCAATAGAAGGGATCTAAAGAAGCATTATTAAGAGTCATTTGATCAACATACCTTTGAGAGATCTCTTCAAATTCTCTCTTTCTTGAAAAATACGATGATAGGTTAAGAGTTGAGGTGTTTTTAGAGCGAGAAAGCAAAAGGTTCGAAGGGAGAAAAGAAGGTCTGCAGAGCTGGCAAATGTGAGCGAGAAAGAGATTGGGGTCGCTGTAAGAAAGGAGGGTGAATAATTAACGGAAAATTACAGTTAGTCCCAACCTATTCACTGAGCAGCAAACGAGTCCCCATTCTATTTTTTGAATAGAGAAAAGTCCAATTAGCTTTGAAAAAGGTCAAACTTTTTATTAATATAATTCTTAGTATATATCAAACTCAATCCCTTTTCGTTTCCCCAGCCACCTCGTGCTTTCGGCATTCACTTAAAAGATCCAAATCCCTCCAATTCCAAATAAATCCAATCCTTCATTCTTTAATTGTCATTCATTTTACGTTCAAGAGTTAAGGAATACGCTCAAATTAATGTGTCAGTTGTTTCAATTAGGTACTCTCTTGGACTCCTATTTTTTGTCTCAATTATGACTTCTGGTAAGCTACTCGTTTATTGAAAAAATTTATTTTTATTTTTCGTTAATAATAAACATACCATTTACATATTTTTCTTGCACTAGATAAAAATACTATTACAGTAGATTCCTACTTTTTATTTATTCGAGTTCTTGTTATTCAATTTATTGAATAGAGTGCAAAATACTATCCATGAGCTTGGATGGGAGAAGAAAAGCAATGATAAATACTTCTTTTAAGTCTCATGTAATAATTTCATTATTATTATTGTTTTTTATATTTGGGCTCATTGAGATTGGATGATAATGAAGTGTTCAATGAGCTCTTTTACAACTTGACGACACAAGAGGTGGGGGTGGTGAACGTTGACAAAGGATTGGGGATTGGGAAGAAATTGGTACGCGGTTTGAAATATTTTATAAGTATTGTGAAAGTAATATTCGACCATCCATTTAACTTTTTAATCTAAATATGAGAGAAAATACAAGTTCTTAAAAATAAATGTTAATCATTATACATGCACGTTAATAGTAAAATGCATACTTGAATATAAATCTTAGAATTACAAATAAATGTATAAATGAAGATAGATGACAAATATTATTTATGAATAAACGTGAATGTCAATTAATTTAGAATAAATAACAAGGAATATATATGTTACAATGAATGTTAAATCATTTATATTAAATGAATATAACTTAAATTTTAATTAAGTGAAATTGTATGCTAATTAGCATCTATGGACGTGAATAATAAACTGAATTATTGAATGTGAAATTCTAATTAATATTAATTAAATGAATGTGAAAGTTAATTAATTGAAAATTAATTATAATATTTATTATAATTTGTAATTTAAATACATATTGAAAAATAAAAATAAGGTATTATTGAAATAATTGAATTGTAGTATGATCATAATCGTTCAAAAAATATTCTTATTTGGTGTGATATTTAATACATTATAGATAATTGACTTATGATATTTTTTGTCTCCCAACAATTGTGTTAACAAGCCTCGTGTGCACGCTTGATGACATTTTGGACAATCTCCTCGACTATGCATCTTGGTGCTACGGGAAAGCTAGATTGGGAATATAAATACCAAAAAAGTATGGGAACTCATTTGTTACTAAGTGAATAGGTTGAGGACTAGTTATGCAAATTTTCAAATAACTAATGTACGGTATGGTATTATGGTATGATTTTTTCTTTCTTTTTTCTCTTTCTAACTTTTTTTGGGGCTTTTGAGATATGTTGTAGAAAAATTGTACCATTGTTTTTAGACAGTATATACGGCGTTATTTGAGCCTCATTTTTTATTATTAAATTATATTCTTAGACAGTGATTTAAATACATTTTTTTCAATAAAATAATATTATAAATAAATTTAAAAAATCTTTATTATTTTAACCACATATTTTCTATCACTGTAGAGAGAGAGAGAGAGAGAGAGGATTGAATAATGACGTAGTTTTAGTGTGAGGAGTTGGACAAGAAAATAAATATTTTTTGGGTTTTTCTTTTATTTATTTTTCGTAATAATTTCTTTGGCTTTTTTATTTTCTTAATAAGAAATTATTCACTTTTGAAAGCAATCACTCTGCTCCTATATTACTGGAAAAATTTATGATATCCTTTATAATTCCATATAAAACATTAAAAAACAAAAGCATATTGTAACAGAGGTGAACAAAACGCGAGCCAATATGATGTGATACGAATCTAATTAGTTTAGTTTATTACTTGTTATTAAAATTATGTGCTCGACTTTGCACATGTATAAAAGGCCACGGATAATCTCTTAAATTTGTCTTCGAATATTTCATAAATTAAATTTCTTGTCCATACACTAATTTAATATTCATATTATAAAGGAACAACGAAAATAATTATAATAAACTATAGAACTTGTCCTCGAATATTTTTATTTCTGATTTTTACTTATTTGATATTTAGAAAAAAAAATAAATAGAGCTTTTAAGAGTATTAGAGAGCCTTCATTTGGGAGAGTGCCTTCGAGCTCGACAACCTCTTTGGGAGCTCGGTACTATCGGTCAACGCCACAGTAAGATAGCAAAATATATTTTCATTTCAACCAAGAGACGAGAAAGAAAGGCCTAGTTGGAGGTGAACTTTGCAAAAGTGCTTATTTACTTGGTAAATATAGGACGAAACGTTGGTTCCACCCGCGACCTCAAGCGACTTTTCCTCTATCGATAATTTCTAAGAAATTTTTTGAAAGAGTCATTTTTAATCAAGAGAAATGAGTCGGTTGTCGATATAGATTTTTGGTGGGTGAGAAAAAAAAATTACAAACCCTTTGGTTGGTTTCAAGTGTTTTTCATTTCAACTAGGTGGAGAAACATGAATTTGTGCTCTTTCTTCACGTTTAATATAGTTCAAGGTATTGTTTGGTGGAGGTCCCACTTCCACTTGTCTAAGCTTCCAATTTTCTTTAGTTAAATACACAAAAATAAATAAATAATAATAATATTTGCTTTCAATCTGTTGAGATGGGTTTAGTGGGCCAAACAATTCTTAATAACCAACTCAATCAGATGTTCTTTCTTTTTCTAAATTTGTTGTAACTGTTTTATATGTTAATTGTAAGGACAAAAGAAAAAATGTGTTAATTGTCAAATTAATGTTTTTTTTTTTCAATATCATTTGGCATTCTATTCTATTCTATTCGATGAAATTATTTGTTTTTCATTCTTATTTTTGTTCTCCGGAAAGTCATTGTCTTCTCTCTTTCAAATGAACAATCTCAACGACTTGGACATTCGATTTTTTTTTTCCCCTATAATGAAGGTTCCAATAATGGAAACTTTGAAATTTTTGTTGGTTTCAATAATGTAAACTCTGAAAACTCCATTGATTTTGATAATGATAGTACCAACAATGAAAATGACCCTACTTACGATAGTGAAAACAATCATACCATGATGGCAAAAACAACTTAATTGACTACATGAAAATTCTTGTGTCATTTTTTTACGCATTAGCTCGACTTGTAATCCGATCCTGGATTCGTCCCTGATTTCCTTAGAGATAAATTTGTCAATATGTAAATCTCATTTCATGCACAAGGAACTCAACAAAATGTGCATAGTAGTAAATTCGAAAAAAGTGAATAAAATTGAATTAATTCCTATTTAATTTGGCATCCTCCTAACATTGTTAATTCCTATTGATGAACATATCATGTGAGAGTATGATAAATCTACCTTTCCCTTGCCTCTTTTTGCACAAGGGTCCATGGCATCTATCCCACTTGGGAGGTTCATGTTTGGACCATGCACGACAAATTTGTTTTCACTATGTTTACGTCTCTTGTTAATGTTGTTGGAAAATTGATAGTAAGAAAAGTTATGTTTATTGTACGTCGACGGTTGAAGGTGAATGTACAAGAGTGTTCGTATTTTGGTTGTTGAATGCATATATAAATTTGACAAAAAAATGAATAAATTTACATTACTTTTTCTCTCAAAAATGAGAACAAAAAAGAAAAAGTAAAGGCAGGAGGTCGAGAGTCTAGTCGAAAATTTGCAATGGATAGTAGGTCATATTCTTTCCATTTTTCATCAAAATGGAAGCCATATCACTTTCAATATGATGAATTATCTACGTATAGAAGTTCGAAAGTTGAAGGCGCTTAGTATTTTTCATGCACGTGGGGAATGTAAAGCAACGCGACACATGTTTTCTCTAACGCCAACTTTATTAACGATTTCGTCAAAAAAAAAAATATGGGATTATGCACAAATTAGAAATCACAATCACCTCGGCTTCCAATATGAAAATTTAAGCAATGTTTTAGGGATTTTTCAAAATTTTATATAATTGTTTTTGAATAAAATAATAAATTAATAAACTATTCTTTCTAACCTACTATTAAAAGTTGGACATGGAGTACCGCCACCCCCTATAGACAACTCAATGCACTTTAATTTCTATGCAACTTTATCGTTTGTTTGTTGTCATGTGGAAAAAGTGGCCGGTTTGGGCGGTGGTCGACCAACTGCCAAGTACATGATTCTTGATTGTAGAGAAATGAAAAAGACATTTGCAAGTAGATAAAAACCTTTTTATTTAAATCATGAAGATGTATAGTAATTAGTAAGATAAGTTGACTTGACTTTAGACAAAACAAAGTTTTAAATCTCAAAAGTTATAAATAAAGGATTATTTAAAATGAAGTCATGTTCTATGTATTCATAAAATTTCCACAAGCGTCATACGTGTAGCGACTCAAAAATTAACCTAAGATGAAGAGTAATTCAAATACTCATATAATTTCAAGACTGACAGTATGACTAGTCGAGATGAGACTTTTATTCATATTTTCTAACAATCCCTCCTATGAAATAACAGCATTGTCTCGCTCTTCCTCATGCACTACGTCATACGTGGGCCAACCTTCTTTAGATTAATGAATCTAGTTCAATTTTCTTTTAGATTCACTTTTAAATGATATAGAATTTTCTTTGCTGTCTAAATAATTGTATATGGTACTATATATAAATCAGAAGTGGAAACATGGGCATGAAGGCCTATCCACAGCCTGTTTATTATGGGAAAGAAGGTGGTGATAAAGCATATGAGGACCCCCACCCCACCCTACTCAAGCCCCAAAAGGAAAATTCATATAACTATGAATTGTATCAATCAATCACAACTATATACAAAATAGGCCAATGAATTCAATTTTAGATATGATAGCACAAGAAAGGTCAATCAAAAACCTTTATTATCATATTTATTGTGAAAATTTTAACCATGGTAGTATAACAAAATATAAAATATCAATTAAAAGCGTTTACTTTTGGGTAGATTTTTACAATTTGCTGTTGACGATTTGAACAATTGGACACGAGTGAGATATAATTTGTTGTACTTGATTAAGCCCGGTAGTTAAGTGTCAAAGAAATCCTACAATGTTTAATCCGATTTCAATTATGCTTATCCTCCTCACTATCATTTTTAAGATTTGTGGATTTTCAATGCTCGTCAAACACCAGATTTCACAGCACCAATAGGGGAAACTTGTAATCTTATTTCAGTTCTTGGGGAAATGCTTGAAGCTAGTTGTGGTTGAAAACATGTCCTCGAGTCAAAAGTCATTTGCATTCGATTGCAATGCTTGTGGTCTCGACTCCTCGGGAATTCCTCTGATTGGTATGAGTCATTACTTCGATTCATGCTCGACAAACTTTGTACATAACCTTAGGAAGAAACCTAGTTCATACATTGCTAACACAACTATAGCTAATATTGTTAAACCTTGCTCCAAACAAATATCCTAAATTTGTTAACAAATTTTCTCCACTGTAATTTAATCCATTTTGGGGGGGATTGGTTGTGCATATTGTATTGCAACTTTCTAAGATGATGCTGATTACTAATCTTGAGGGGTTGTTTAGTTGATCAGACATTTGATTTACTCCCAAATGGTCACCAATTCAAGTCCCTTTAGAATCACTGAGGTGAGTACTCAACCGTAAACCTCAGGGCCTTGTGGAATTAGTCTAGGTGCGCTCATGCTGACTCAGACATCCATGGTTATTAAAAAAAAAAAAATGATGATGCTGATTACCATAAGTACAAAATTTTTGCCATTGGTATTATAAGTTTAATGCAAATGCCTAGTGACTTTTCAAAAAGCATGTATAAAAGTTATTTTTATTTTTTGTGGCTAATTTCACGAGTAGGCGTGACGAGATAGTGAACATTTAGTAGTACAATATAATATCATAATTTTTTTTTATGTTTCTTAATATATTGTATTAAACATGATAATGCATGTCTCAACAACTTTTGTTTGGAGCTAAATTATGTCCCGTAAGTACAATTCACTGGGGTTAGGACAAACCTCCAATAACATTCTTCAAACAAACCTCACGAACATATTTCCGGAGCTTGCATAGCTGACAACATATTTGGTCAGAAATATTGCACAAAACTAACATTATTATTTAAATAAGTTTTTAACTTTCTACTCATCAACAGCTTCATACAAGCTGGTCTACAATATACGAAATTCAACACAAATGCAAACTTCTGCAAACAAAATTTTCAGTTGCTAAGGGTATGAAGTTGAAGTGTAATGTAAATGTACAAATTACAGTCTCTTCTTTCCTAGAAGCAAATCGAAAAACAGAAAAGAATAACAGTTCTCCAAAGTTTGTTCCTGTGCAAGTAAATCTACAACAAGAAACAATATTACGAAAAAAAGATCTACAAAAAAACCCCTTCCTGAAAGAATAGTACAAAAAACTGCAGTATATTTAGTCGATACGTGGGGTACAAGTACTTCATCGTACCCTGCTCCTCTTTGAGGCATCATACTAACTCCATTAAGAGAGGATCACCTGCTGCCATGATTCTTATTAGCTTAATAAAATCTTGCTCGCTCAACACATTCCAAGGGTGAACAGCCGGCACTTCAGCAGAATAAAATGATGTAGAGTTGCTTGGTATATTTTGCTTATATACCATGGACCTAAACACCGGGTCGAAATTCTGAGGTAAGTCGAGTGCTGGAAAGAACATCGGCATCGCAACCTTGTGATGGATATCTAGATCTCCAACTAGATTAACAAGATTGATAAAGTCGGCTACAAAACGGCGAGGAACGTAGAATACCTCCGAATTGCATATTGTGAGACTTGTGTGATCTTTTACAGTTTCTTTGTAATTGACCTGAAGGTGAACTGGCATTGTGGCAACTACTTTTTTCACCATGTCCGCTTGCTTTACAAACCAATCGGATTTTCCAGCAATTGAAACGCTGGTCCAAGAATCGGATACCTATATGCATTTGTTTTAATTAGATATATGCAAAATGTGACTATTTCGACTATTCAACAAGCTATCTTGTCTCAAAACCAAGATAATAACATACATTACACGCCAATTATTTAAAATTTGCTTCGGCCAAAACTTAATCAGTGCACTGATGTGAGCATAATTTTTGTTCATCTCGTTATCCATAATCCCGCTGTGTTTGTGAGCATGTAGGAAATAGCATTTTTCATGAGCGTGTTCATAGACCTTTATAAAGTTTCGGTTTTTTTTCAATAGCACTCTTTTGCAGTCGGTCATAATTTTGGCTGAGCTTAAAAAAAGTTACTTTTAAGTAACTTTTTGCTTCCATACACGTTTGAATATGTTATTTTAATTTTAAAAAAGTACTTATTTTGAAAGTCACACTTAACGTTATTGTCAAAACAAGTATTTATTTCCAACTTTAACAGATAAAAAAATATTTATTTAAAACTTACTTTTTTCTTTGAAAATCCACTCAAGAATTGACATGGCTTTTTAGGCCAACTCACCAATTATTTTAAAACAAACTTATTTACTTATAATTGAACATTTTAAGTTAGCCAAACATGCTCTATATACATAAACAGCTTTTATATCAATGAGCAGTCATGACACCCTTAAGGATGAACAAGCCATTTACCTTGTTTGTGATCCAGAGCTTAGTCTTATCCGCTTGCAACAAGTTCCAGTAATTAAGAATAGTATCATCCTGAAGAAATAAAAATCCTTCTGCACTGGTATATCTATCAAATAATTTTGGCAGATACCTGAAAGCAAAACATGATAATGTCACAAGCAAGGAAATACCAGAAGAAAAATGTGAGAAAGGTTTTATGAAATATAACACCAAATGCAGACAACCGTTGCATTACACCAAGTCACAAACATGCTTTTCACTGCCATAAGTATATAAGTGAAGAAGAATACTTAACCCATCAACAATGAAAGCCAGCTTGCGCAAGCAACACAAGGGATGGCATGTTAACTGGTTAAATAATATCAGCCTTAATCATAATCACTTTTTACTTACTTTGTTGGTGACAGAGATAGACGGCTTATTCTGCGGTGATATAGTAAAATCGAAGGACGGAGCAATATTAGTCACTCACCACAAAAGCCACATATTGGTAGTTTTTCCAATCCCCACAAGTGTATGATAACATCATTCTACATAACAAGAAATCCATAGATTGCAAATAACTTATAGTAGAAGAATAACAAATTAATTGCTTCCCCAATCAGAAGGGATAATTTCAAAGCAAATAAATATAAGTTCAAACTACTTCAAAAATTTCTAGGTTGTTATTTTAAGAAAATTATGATAGGCCCCCAATCAGGTTCACTTACGCTCGAAGGAAGAAAGGGCTTTTGGGTCATTAAGAGTTAGTTAGCTGAGTGGGGGTAAAATAGTAAAGTGGGGAGGGAGAGAATGTGAATAAATTGGGAGGGAAGGGATAAGGGGAATCATTCGGTTTTTACTTGAATTGTGTAGTTGGGGAGAGACCAGGCCTCTCAGTTAGCCTGGGTATTTTGTTATCATTCAGTTAGATCAATCAATTGCTTATTTTTGTGTTCATCTTCTCTAGTTATAAATCATTCAACAGGCAAGTTCTTATCAAATTGGTATCAGAGCATGACGATCGCGGATCGAGTGGGTCAGTTGGAATTGAGATTTGACGGGTTGCAAGGGGAAGTAGGGGTCATGAAATCCGAACTGCAGAGAGACTTTACAGCACTAATGGAGAAGTTCGATTTGGTAATGACAAAGTGGGGTGATCAGGAGAAAGAGAGAAAAGAGAAAGCGAGCTCGTCTGAATCTGCAGAGGTAACACCGAGTTCTGAAGTTTTGCAAAAACCTCAGAAATTAGGTGGAAATCAGAGCAATCGAACACCGCAGGAAGAGATGGCTAGGGGAGATAACCGGAATCGTAGGCTAGAAATGCCGATTTTCAATGGGGAAACGCCAGACGCCTGGATTTTCAGGGCGGAGCGTTATTTCAGTATCAATCAACTCACAGACTGGGAAAAAATCGAGGCGGCTGCTGTCTGTTTCGAGGGTGAAGCTTTAGCCTGGTACCAATGGGAAAATGGCCGGCAGCCTTTATTGCGGTGGGGGGATCTCAAAATGCTTTTGTTACATCGATTCCGGCCATCACAGGATGGGAGTGCACTGGAGAAGTTACTGGCGCTAAAACAGGATGGGACGGTGAGGGATTACCGGCGCTGGTTCGAGTTATTGGCGGCACCCTTACCGGACGTTCCAGATGCGGTGCTGGAAGGGAATTTTATCAATGGATTGGATCCACTTATCAGGGCTGAGGTGAGGATGATGAAGCCGCAGGGGTTGGGCCAAATTATGGAGCTGGCCCAACGCGTTGAGGACCGAAATGACTCCCTTAAACGGGCTGCCACTGTGGTTGGCCCATCCCGATTTAAAACCAGCAGTCCCCTTTTGACCAGCTCAGTGGGAAATAGCCCTAATTATTTGGGATCGTACAGTAGGGGAAGCAACCCATTGATTCCAAACGGGCTACAGACACAGGCGAACGCAATGAAGGTTCCAGGCGTCTTCAATCAGCGGTCGACGAAGGCTGAACGGGCGACGACACCGTTTCGGCGGCTGACCGACGGGGAATTACAACTCAAGCGAGAAAAGGGGCTTTGTTACCGCTGCGATGAGAGGTATGTTCCGGGACACCGATGTAAAAATAGGGAGTTGCAAGTGCTCTTGGGGCGGGAAGAAGAGATTGAGGAAGCGGGTGATGAGGTTGGCGATGAAACTAGTGAAGAGATGGAGGAGAGGGTGGAATTGTCGATCAAGTCCGTGGTTGGGCTCACTGCACCTAAAACCATGAAGTTGCGTGGTGCAATTTACGGGAACCTGTGGTTGTTCTCATCGATTGTGGGGCCACCCACAATTTTATCTTGTCTGAACTAGTTCAGAAGTTGGAGCTGAGTGTTATGGAGTCCGCCAGTTATGGGGTTGTGATGGGTACGGGGATATCCGTTAGAGGTGGTGGAATTTGTAAAGGGGTGGTAGTTACTCTACCAGAAGTAGAGGTAGTGGAAGACTTCTTGCCACTGCAATTGGGGTGTACTGATGTCATCTTGGGGATGAAATGGTTGGAGACATTAGGGAAGATGCAAGTGAATTGGAGCACACTCACAATGCGAGTCAAGGTTGGGGGGGAGACGATGGTGTTACAGGGTGACCCTAGTCTGGATAAGACCCAAGTATCGCTGAAATCCATGGTTAAGACGTATAAGGAAGGAGAACAGGGGATTCTGCTTGAATTCGGGAGTCTGGGGAAGGACAAGGAAACATTAGTAGCTGAAGTTCCTGACTCTATCACTGAGTTATTGGGAAGTCATCAAGGTATGTTTGGCTGTCCTAATACATTGCCACCTCTGAGAGTGCGTGATCACACAATTCTGCTACAGCCGGGAACAACTCCTGTGAATGTCCGGCCTTACAGATATCCCTATGTCCAGAAAAATGAAATCGAAAAATTGGTTGGAGAAATGCTGGCTGCAGGAATTATCCAACCTAGTCAAAGTCCCTTTTCAAGTCCGGTGTTGTTAGTAAAGAAGAAGGACGGGAGTTGGAGATTCTGTGTCGATTATCGAGCATTAAACAAAGTGACAGTGCCAGACCGGTTTCCAATTCCGGTGATCGATGAATTGTTGGATGAGTTGCATGGGTCGAGAGTGTTTTCAAAGCTGGACCTGAAATCGGGGTACCATCAAATCAGGGTCAATCCTGGGGACATCCCGAAGACAGCTTTCCGCACGCATGAGGGTCACTATGAGTTCTTAGTCATGCCGTTTGGGTTGTCCAATGCTCCAGCTACTTTCCAGCATTTGATGAATGAGGTGTTTCGTCCATACTTGCGAAAATTTGTCCTCGTCTTCTTCGATGATATTCTGGTTTACAGTCAGTCCATCGAGGAGCACCTGCATCACTTGGGAGTCGTATTGGACGAATTGCATAAGCATCAGTTGTACGCCAATAAAAAGAAATGTCTGTTCGGCCAAACTAAAGTGGAGTATCTCGGTCATGTGATATCTGAAAAAGGGGTCGCAGCGGATCAGTCGAAAATTGAGGCCATGGTCACTTGGCCAAGTCCGGGTACTCTTAAGGAGCTTCGAGGGTTCCTAGGTCTCACGGGGTATTACCGGCGTTTTGTTTTGGGGTACGCTAAGATAGCTTGGCCATTGACGGAATTATTAAAAAAAGACAGTTTCCGATGGAATGAGGAGGCCGAAACAGCTTTCCAGAACCTCAAAGCCGCCATGATCAGTGTTCCAGTGCTGGCACTACCGAATTTTTCTAAGCAGTTCGTGGTTGAAACAAACGCTTCTGGACATGGATTAGGAGCGGTCCTGATGCAAGACTACCATCCGGTGGCCTTCTTTAGTAGAGTTTTGCCACAAAGCGTTAGGCAGCGGTCAGTGTATGAGCGGGAACTTATGGCAGTGGTGTTTGCAATACAAAAATGGCGACATTATTTAATGGGCAGACATTTTATTGTTCGGACCGATCAACGTAGTCTGAAGTTCCTATTAGAGCAGCGTTTAGTGAGTGAAGACCATCAGAAATGGCTCACTAAACTTATGGGATTTCATTTTGACATCCAGTATCGCCCAGGGTTGGAGAATAAGGCTGCTGATGCTCTGTCTAGGTTACAACCAGCCCTAAACTGTTTGGCTTTGACGGTCCCTAGGGTGCTACAATTGGATGATATTAAGAAAGAAGTAGCTACGGATGAGGTACTGGGCAGGATAGTGAAGAACTTACAGGAGGGAGTTCCCGTCCAGGTTGGGTATACATTGGTGGATGGGCTGTTGTGTTATCGTGGGAGGGTCGTACTCCCAGCAAGTCGCGGTTCGTGCCCTTATTGCTACGTGAGTGCCATGATACATTGGTTGGGGGACATTCTGGATTTCTTAAGACCTATAAACGAGTGGCCAGGGAAGTTTTTTGGCACGGAATGAGGGTGGCGGTAAAGCAGTTTGTGGCCAATTGTGCAATCTGTCAGCAAAATAAATATGTAGCCTTGTCGCCTGGGGGCCTCTTGCAGCCCTTGCCGGTTCCAGCGTTAATTTGGGACGACATTTCTATGGATTTTATTGAGGGGTTACCGCGATCAGGTGGAGTGGATACGATTTTGGTGGTTGTGGATCGTTTGAGCAAATATGGGCATTTTGTGGGCCTGAAACATCCATTTATTGCACCCATAGTTGCAGAGGTGTTCATCAAGGAGGTGGTGAGACTTCATGGCATGCCTCGCTCCATCATATCGGACCGGGACCGAATCTTTATGAGTTCGTTCTGGACGGCTCTTTTCAAAGCACAGGGGACTGCCCTTAAACACAGCACTGCTTACCACCCCCAAACGGATGGCCAAACTGAGGTTGTCAACCGATGCCTGGAGACGTACTTGCGTTGTTTCGTGTCAAGCAAGCCCCGGGTGTGGAACCAATTTTTGCATTGGGCCGAGTTTTGGTATAACACTTCCTTCCACACTGCTACTAAGCATACCCCTTTTCAGATTGTATATGGGCGTGAACCCCCCCAGATTCTCTCCTACGAGAAGGGTTTGACAGTGAACTCATCGGTGGAACAGCTCTTACTTGAACGGGATGAGGTATTAAAGGACTTGAGGGTGCAGCTTACTAGAGCGCAGGTAAGAATGAAAGAAATAGCTGATGGACATCGGCGCGACGTCAAGTTTGAAGTTGGGGATATGGTATATCTCAAGCTACGCCCTTTCCGCCAGAAATCTGTAGCTAGAAGAGCATCTGAGAAGCTGTCCCCGAGATATTTCGGTCCTTTCGAAATAGAATCAAAGGTGGGCATGGTTGCTTACAGGTTGAAACTTCCGCCCACAGCTGCAATTCACCCGGTTTTCCATGTGTCGCAGCTTCGTAAGGCCATTGGGAATATACAGCCAATTCCCTCGTTTCCTCAGCATTTATCCGCCAATGGGGAATTTCTTCTGGAACCAGAATGTGTACTTGGTGTCCGCCCCAACCTTCATTCCACTACTGCAGACCCTGAAATCTTGATTAAGTGGAGAAGTTTACCAGAGTTTGAAGCTACATGGGAGCCCTTTGAAGCCATCCGACTTCAGTTTCCTAGCTTTCCCCTTGAGGACAAGGTGGATTTCGGAGCAGCGGGTAATGATAGGCCCCCAATCAGGTTCACTTACGCTCGAAGGAAGAAAGGGCTTTTGGGTCATTAAGAGTTAGTTAGCTGAGTGGGGGTAAAATAGTAAAGTGGGGAGGGAGAGAATATGAATAAATTGGGAGGGAAGGGATAAGGGGAATCATTCGGTTTTTCACTGGAATTGTGTAATTGGGGAGAGACCAGGCCTCTCAGTTAGCCTGGGTATTTTGTTATCATTCAGTTAGATCAATCAATTGCTTATTTTGTGTTCATCTTCTCTAGTTATAAATCATTCAACAGGCAAGTTCCTATCAAATTATTCTTAGATAAAAATGTTCTTTTGGTAGTATTTCTTTTAGCTGCTTTGGCTATGTGAAAAATGTTAAAACCAAATCCACCTGATTGATTGTCGAATCTAGTGAAGAAGTCCACACAGAAAATTATGAATGATATTCATAACAGAAAAAGTAATTACTTTAAGAGGCATGAGTCCACCACAAAGTGAAAAGTATCATCGACCACAATAGAGATGCAGGTGTAAAATTAATTGCACATATTATGTAGCGTTTGGCAAACTCTTAAATTAAGTGTTTAGTAACAAGTTTGCCTCAAATTACTTAAACCCAGTTTGGTAAGTACAAATCCTGAAACTATTTAGATTTTGTCTAGCTTGACTCTAGCCAAAAATTGGTTCAAGCATCAGTAAATGAAAGTTGGTTACATCATTTACATCATTCAAGCCAAAACAACAAATCATAACAAATATTTGATTTGACTAGATGTGAAATATTTTTTTCGATTTTCAGGTGACCGATAGAGTATGTTGAGAATTTTTTTCAATGAACAAACTAGTCCTGATACAATACAAGTCAAACTGGAATAGGTACTCGTTAAAGTAACATCTAAAAATTCTGTAAAAAGTAAAGCAGGAAAAGAGGAAAAAAGACACTTACTTGTAAGCATGGTCCAACTGGCCTTCTTCCACAGCAAGATCTACATTTTTCTGCCCTGAGAGTATGATAACTGTCTTAAATATCCTGCCATATAGCAATCTCCACTCCAAAGCAGTTCGTTCGACCGGTCCACTGCAGAACATTATAAGCACAACATTCCCGAAATGCTTCCTCCAGTGTATCAAATTCGCAATTTCATAATTCACTGTGCCAATTTCCTCTACACCAAGATGCACAGATGGTAGTTTCAAGGGGATAAACTCCTTCCTATCTCCATGACCAATACTTGCTCTTGGCCTATCCAACTCAAGAGACATCAGTCGCGGCTGCTGGTAACCAACAGCAAGCAAATCTTGAAGCCAAGCGGCAGTAAACTGCACATCTTTTTCCGTCCAAAACCCTTCTTCGGCCATCACATAACTTAGTTCAAGAATTTTCTCAAACAACCTGTGCTTATCCGATCTCCATCCCACCAAGAATTTGATTAACCGGCCTACATTCACGTGAAGATCTTTCTCTTCTGAGAAAGGATATGCTTCAATCCTATCATTCCGATGAGCGGTAGGAGGATATACCACAACATACCCACCGATTTCCCACAGAAGCCTTTGTGCCCAATACCCTCTCAACACATCAGAAGCCATTGAACTAACCGAAACCGGAAGCATCAAACCCCAGAAAGCAGATGAATGAAAAATAGTATTGAATGAATTAACAGGCACCATTGTACCCTGTGGCAATGCCACTTTTGGGGCACGCTCATCGAACCTAATATCAAATGCTTCCAAAACTGGCTTCCGAGTAAAGTAAAAAACTAAATCCACATCCGGTAGCCCATTTGAAATCCCTTGTTGTATAAACTGTCTCCCACCGAAAACCTCAGTGTAAAACTCCTCGTGCCCAATCTCACCTACATTTTCTAAGGGCAACCCCCGCGGCCACACAGACCGCTGCCCAAAATGTATATAAGGGTTCACAACAGTCCTGTTAGGATTCTCATGACTATACTGCAAAATAACTTCTTGCCTAGCACCTTCACCAATCAGTTCAACATCAAAATGCTTCCCAATATCATTATCGATCACATCTCCTCGATCATCAACATCATAAATTTTTTTTGCACCGTGTTGTATGGCAAATAAATATCCAACACTTTTTCTCACAGATGAATCATATGGCAAGTGATCAACCACTCTGAATCCCAATTGAGCTTGAATTTCTAAAGATAAATAAATAGCACCTGTTGAAACCAAAAAAAAAAAAATCAATCTCCTAAAGAACTCCATTAAACTTCTAGGATGCGTCAAAAACATAAATAAATACTTCACAAATTCTTGTTGAAGTTCACACCTTTAACTTTTACACTAAATTGATTACTTATTAGTTAAAAATTCCAATTTCATCAACAACACAACAATTCATATTCTCGCTAGCAGGTTAATTGAGTTGATAAAATTCAATACTAAATCGTACCTTTGAGACCCCAGTCTTTTGGGGTTTTGGAATTTCCCACCGCAAGCACTTGCCAACCTTTAATAGTAATCATTTTTCGAAGTGAATAAGAGGGTTGATCCGAGACAGATACAACAATCCATTTCTCCGATCGGAAATTCGCATAGGGAGTAATTTTATCAACAATGCGCGGAATTGAATTCCAATTGATAACTGGGAACTTGGGGTGAATCGACTGAGACTGAGTAGACTGGAGGCAGAGAAGAGCGGCCGTATCGCCGCCGGCAACCCCATAATTGCGGAGGAAGAAAAGGGCCGCCACGGCGGTGATAAGTAGAAAGATTGTTATTATTTTGTACACATTTTCCGAAACCCATGTGGAAAAATCAAGTTTCTTTGTCTCAGAAAATCGATTCGAAGCTAAAATTGGTCTGCTTCTGGGTTGATTATTTTTTAGTTTTGCACGATCTTGGACTAACGTTTGAGTTGAATTTTCCATCTTCACTCTTGCATTTGACTAGAGTGTGATTGAATTTACCTTCTTCTTCTTCAGTCTAAGCAGTGACGTCGAGTGGTTGCCGACAAGAAATGTGGGTAGGAATTTTCTTTCTTACGCTTGAATCCAACTTCTTGCTGTGCTGTATTTTTGGTGAGTAGTCACAAAGAAGTTTGTGCGTTCTTTTCAGTTTTAATAATTAATTGATTTGATCTAGAATTGGTTACTCAAAGATTTGGACAATACAACTAATTCTTTATAATTAAATACGCAAGAAAGATCAATGTATGGGTTGCAATTTCTTTTAAAAAATCCATTAAATTTTCATTCATCTTATCAATTACACATTTTCGCAATAAAATAATATTATACATAAATTCAAAAATTATTCTTACTTTTTAACCATTCATTCTTCAAAAAGTACTATTACAAGATCAGTTTTTTTATTTCTGCATATAATAAGTTTTATTTTGACACGAGAAAGTGAATGAACTGATCAAGATAGACCTACCTTTCACTCTTATTTTTGGTGAGATGTAAGTGATTTGATTGGTATGTTTTAGGTTTATTATGAAATCAAAAGGTATTGAAAATTGAGCAATGCTACATTGCCCAAGTTGGATGACAAAAGGAGGAGTGCCCAAGTGAGGTGGCTACTTGGGCAAAGTAGCGTTACACTTGAAAATTAAATTGTTGGAACATTCACATAATCTTTATTTTTCGGTCTACCGAGTTTGGTATTATATGGTTTTAGAACGCTTAAGTTATTGGTGTGTTCAATACGTAACAATATATTTATACAATGACGAAAATAATTAAAATAGTCTTTTGCAACTGACGTAAGTTGAGCTGGCTCGACCCTCATTTTGTCGAGCAATGTTGGGCTTCATGCCTAGCCTAATACAAATAAAAATTTCCATGCAATCTATTTTTCTCTCAGTCATTAATTATTTATTTATAAAAAATTAAAATCTTATTAAAGAATATTGATGATTTGAAAGCTAGTCACAAAGGACTATTGTGTTGCGCGTGCAAGGGTGCATTACCAATACTTTTTTTAGACCTAATTGAAACACATTCTATATTTGTATATGAAATGAGCCACTTCATATTCACGATTGTCTAATTATTTATTTAATTTATTTATCATCGAATTTATTGAAAATAAAATTTAATTTTTTGTTGTTTTATATTGAAGTGCTCGAAAGACTAAACTACGAAAAAATGATTTTCCTTAGGACATTAATATAAGTGGTAATTACATAAAACCATACTTTAAGTTTTTAAATTTCTAAAATCAGATTGGATGTTTTATATTTCCAAAATCAGATATTTTATAGTTAAAATTTATTATAATTAAATATACAATATTTCAAACCCTTTTCATATTTCTCTCCATTTCACAGATCTACCTTTCTCTCTCTCTCTAAGCAAACCCTACACCACCCCGTCGTCGGCGACACAGCTCCGGCATTGAGGCACTAGAGTTGGCCTCTCGCTCGATGCTACAGCCGGTGGCGCGACCTCGTTGAGGCGCTGTAGCCGATCTCTTGATGCTGCAGCCGCTACCGCGTTGAGGCGCCGCAGTCGATGTCGGTGGTGCGATCGCGTTGAGGTGCTGCAGTGAGCACCGCTGTTGCGCCGTCACCGACAGTATCTTCTCCTCCCTTCTCCGACGATTTCTCTTCCCTTCTCCGACGATTTCTCCTCCCTTCTCCTCCTCCCCTCCCCCTTCTCATGTTGCGTGATGCTGCCCTAATTTGCAGCAGCGTCGTGACGCCGCTGCAAATTAGGGCAGCGTCCACGCTGCTACTAATTAGCAGAAGCGTGGGTTGTTGCTAATTAGCAGCAACGTCGCTGCTGCAAATTAGCAGCGGCGCAGCCCTAATTCGATGTTGGTGTAGTTGTGGTTGGTTAGAGTTGTAGGTAGAGGTGGTGGTGGTGGTTGGAGCTGGTGATTGTGGGGTGGGATCAATGACGATGTGTGTAATGGTGGTA